GTGAAACACAAAAGCCGCACAAATCATTCAACCACGAACCCAGCCACACCTCAAAGTCTCTGGCAGCACTTGGAGGATCATGGGACGTAGTAAGTAAGGTTGGGGTTTAGGGTTTAAGGTTTAGGGTTTAAGTAGTTATAAGTATAGTTCCCCTAATTATAACCCTAGTTACTACGTCCCAGGATCCTTTAAGCAGGTTTGCACTATCACCGACCTCACCGGCGCCCTTGCCGCGCTGGCATTCGGGCTTGGGGGTGAGGAAGCCTTCGGGCTGTTAAATGGGGGTCTTAGTAGTTAGAATAGGGTTCCTTTAAAGGGGTCTTTAAGGGCTACTATAAAGGCGATTGTAAGGATTTAACAAAGGGGTCTTAATAGTTACCAGTACTATTTTGGTGGCTCCTTATTATATTTACAGTATCTATACTATCCCCAAGAACCCTATTCTAACTTTTCAGGCCCCTACAATCCGGACTTATGCGCCTTGGGTTCCGAGACCCTGCAACAGAAATCCTGAGACCTGGGAGTGTTTCAGTGTGTCTGAATCCGTGCCGCAAGGCCACCCTAGACCCTAAACCCCAAACCCTGACCCCGAAAGCTCCATCCCATTCAAGTAAGCCAGAAAGCTGACTCCCATGTCTGGGGTGGTGCAGATGACAGGCGTTATGCCCTTGGATTCTATGATTGCAAGCCTCAAACCCGGAGACTCGCAAATCCTTCAGTGTAGGCTGAATCCAAACGCCTATTCGATCCTAGTTTTCTAGCAAGGATATGGGTAGTTGTCGAAATTGGGGTCTCTTTCTTGGGGTCCCTATTATAATACGGCACCTTATATTTAGGGTACCCAAACAGGGACCATAATTTTGACAACCACCCATATTCGGTCGGCTCTGCTGATTGCATTGGCTTTCGTTATCCAAAGTTTTGAGACCCACTTAAAGGCTTAAAGGATCATGGGACTTAGTAACTAGGGTTATAATTAGGGTAACTGTACTTATAACTACTTCTAACCACAATAAAGGTACTTATAACCTTACTTACTAAGTCCCGTGATCCTCCAAGCAGGGGTTTTGTCATGGTCTATGGCATTGCTGGGCATCGCATGAGTGCGCCTTTTTTGATCTGTGCACCACTACGGTGTGTGCTGGGTCCACAGGGGCCGTAGATATATATGTGTTGTGGATACAGTCTCGGACTTCACAGAGAGTGGCGAGGCGGCACTGCAGCGTCTTACAGCGGGCGTGACCCGCGCCAAGGGGCCACTGGTTGTGGCGGCGTCGTGTCACCGATGGGGTATGCTTGCAGCTGCAGCCGGCGGACGCTGCGCCGCTTCTCTCCAACCAGGAGGCCGAGTCAGACTTCTATCGGAAGTGATCGGTCGATGAAGCCCCCGCCATCATGCAGTGTAATTACGTGCATTGTGTTTTGGGCATCCTGTGATCCGCCGGTTCCGGCGCAGCTCCTATTGGGGGGAACGGACGCCACGGTAACCAAAGTCGGGGGCGCCGGCTGTCATTGGGCACCTTGCTTCTTGACGAACAGGAACCAGAATAACTTGGATACATAACAGCGGCATCGAAGTCTCTAGGAACCGAAACCTCCTCTGCTATTCCTGTGGCTCATAGCTGTGTGCATGGAGCATGAACTTTCCCTGACAGCATCGTAAAAAGCAGACTGCCTGTCAGAACAACCGGAAACTATAAACCCCAAGCCGTACACGTTGACCTAGGACTAAGCCCTAAACCTTAAACAACAAACCGTGCAAGCCCAAACCCGGCACCCGAAACTTCAATAAACCCTAGACCCTCCACGGGAGTTTCCAAAAAATCAGGGGTTTTTATTTGGGGTCCTCAAAATAAGGATCCTACTATGTAGGGTATATACTATATCAAGGTCTTCTATTTTCGGAAACTCCCATGTCAGGGTTCCTTATTACAAGGACCCCCCCCCCCCCAAATAAGGTACACCTAATTTTCGGAAACTTTCCGATGAAACCCTAAGCTCTACACCCTAAACCCTAAATCCTATGACGGCTGAGCCTCTGCAGAAAAGGCCCATTGCACTTTAAAGAGGAACCCCTGAACCCTACACCCTGAGCCCGGAAGCCTGTACAACCGGTGCCTAGAGCTCCTGACAGACGCAGCAAGCTTTTTGATAGTCGGGTCGGGGGACTTAGTAACAAGGGATCTATAGGGATTCTATAAGGGTATAGGGTTTTTTAGAGTACTTGGAGGGTCGGGGGACTTAGTAACTGGTTATTTTAGGGACTTATAAGTACCACAACCCCAATTAGGGCCCCTTTTAAGGTATTTATAAGTCTACTTACTACCTACCTACTAAGTCCCCCGACCCTCCAAGCAGATTGTCGGGTCGGGGGGGCGAGGTACCCTAGGGATCTAAGGACTCATATGGGTGGTTGTCAAAATTATGGTCCCTTTTGGGGTACCCTAAATATAAGGTGCCGTATTATTATAGGGACCCAAGAAAGGGACCACAATTGTGACAGCCACCCATATAAAGGCTTTTGGGCGCAAAGACCATACTACATGAGGCTGTTGGGCTATTTTGATGCCCGGGGTTAGGGTTTAAGAGTTTAGAGTTCAGGGCTTAGGGAGGTTCAGGCTTCAGAGTCTGGAGTTTTTTCTTTAGGTTTCTTGGACTACCCTGAACCCTAATCCTGTCCCCCAGACACCCTAAAACCCGTAACCCGCAAACCCCCGAAAGTCCGCAAACCCTAAAGCCTCGCTGAGGTTCTGCTCTGCTAAACAACTCCCTGATGCTCATCACGTCAGACATGGCCTGTGATGCGCCGAAGCTGGCCGTGGCCGGTATCCTGCAGCTTGGGTGTGGCAGCTACTTAAAGGATCATGGGACTTAGTAACTAGGGTTATAATTACTGTAACTATACTTATAACTACTTATAACCCCAATTAAGGTACTTATAACCTTACTTACCAAGTCCCATGATCCTCCAAGTAACCCGGGTCTCTGAAGCGGGTTGGGGTTTAAGGGGTTTTGGGCTTGTTCCCAAAGCGTTAGGCAACTTTAGGCCCTAAGCAAGCTCTTAAAGCTGACGGGTTTAGCACTCAACTTCGAGGTTGATGGGCCTCTTGGCACTGGTTTCTTCGCGTCTTCAAGACTCGGAGCACGGAGTAACCTTAAACCATCTTAAACCCTCGACCCCACAATCTTGACCGTAAACATCCTTAACCCTAAACTCTAAGCCCTTACAGTAGAAGCCAAAAAGTCGGAATATCATTATCGTAACCCCTTTGAGGTAAATTATAGGGGATCCTACCATTAATCCATATTCCAACTTTCTGGAGTTCCCTTTAACCCCACACCATGAACCCTATACCCTGAACCCTAAGCCCAACCCAACACAGGTATTGCTGGTCCAACTTGTATCTACCCCGTACGGTCCCAAGAGCAGCGAACTGAAGCCCTGCCAGCGCTTGCCCAAACTCCCTCGACTTGTAGCCTTGAAGGTTACTGTAAACCTGCCCAAAGAGCCTGATAGTGCACTATAGGGGTCTTACTAATTACCTATTCTGTCGTGGGGGTTCCTTCAAAGGGATCCTTAAAGGGGTCTATAAGGGATCTATAGGAGGGTTCTATGGTATAGGGGCTTAAATAATTGCCAACATTATTCCTTAGGGCTCCTTATTATGATTATACTATAATGGGCCCCCAAACCCTATTCCAAGGCCCAAATAGTACCTTGAATGGGATCAAGGCAGAAGCTTGCATCAACTCAATTGTTGTTCCTTACTTGGAGGTTCAGGGGTAGTTATAAGTGGGGTTATAAGTAGAGTATCGAAAACTATAGCCCAATTAGGGGGCTTACATCTCCACTTATAACTACCCATAGACCTCCAAGTATGGTTGCTCAACATAGTTCTAGAATATACCCCCCGAGCGCTGTTCTAATTACGAAGGCCACCCAACCCTGGATCCTAATTCCTCTCGGAACTCTTTAACGGAGCCCCTTCGTGCGGACTATAGTAGCGATCCTGGGGGGGGGTGCCTTAAAAGACAGGGAGTCCAGTAACCAGTGAACCTGGAAGACGCCAGCACCCCGAGCTGCGAGATTTTGAAATCCCAGGCGTTGCGATAACCTCGGCATTGATAATTAGAATGGGGTGTAAGGGTATCCTATAGTACAACTACTTAAAGGATCATGGGACTTAGTAGCTAGGGTTTTAACTAGAGTAACTATACCTATAGCTACTTATAAGCCTAATTAAGGTACTTATAACCTTACTTGCTAAGTCCCATGATCCTCCAAGTAGAAGAAGGAAACCTCAGGAATGGTTGTGGTGGTTATTTGGGCTTCTATACCATACTCCCGAAGCCTAGTGCCAAGTGTCCAAGTACCCAAATAGTAGGCTTTTAGATACCAGCAACCATTAGCAGGATAATGTTTGGGATCTAATACCCTAGTGATGGGCTACTTGGGGCTATTGGGGTGAGCAACTTCCTAAGTCACCTAAACACCCAACCAGCACTCTTGCAGTTTTAGGGTTTAGGGTTTAGGGTTCACTCCAAACTCTACCCAGGTTGGGATCGAGCGATCCGGGCACACTTCCCAAACCTTCATGCCTCGGACCCGAAACCTTCCATATCTCTGCCCGAAACCCGTGGCAAAAAACCCCAAGACCCCCGTAGTATAGGGGCCTAAACAATTACCAATACTATTTTGGGGCTTCCTTACTATAGTCAGAGTATAATGGGCCCGAAAACCCTATTCTAAGTATTAAGGCCACTGTAGGGTTTGGGATCGAGCGGTCCGAGAGCGGACCACATTGCCTTAGACCCCAGTGGTAGTTGCTGCCACGCCATCGAACAGCCCACCCTGGCACCGTCGCTTACGAAAGCGTCGGAGTGCTACGAGGCGGCTGATTCATACCCGCCGGGCCGCCGGCCAGCGACCACCTCTTGCTGCACTACTTTCGCTGCAGCGCCATCACTCCGCTCCGCGATACCGTGAACTGGCATCGTTCATGGGCCGAGGCTCAAAGAAGCAGCCGACATGGGAAGATCAGGACGGAGGCTATGGCCACGACTCCTCTTCTACTGGATGGCACTATTGGCGGGGCGCCTACAATGCGTCTCCCAAAGCACCTCCTGCTCGAGCGCCTACCCGCTACGACCAGCAGCCGGAAAAAGGGCGCGGGAAACATGGGAAGGAGAATACCACCTCTGTCCCCTGGAGGCCTGCGGCCGACGATGGCCAACCGGTCAGCGTGATGCAGGCCGTACAGAAGGCACTATCTGCCACTCGCAAGGCAGATCAGCGGATCCGTCGCTTGCAAGAGGAGAAGGAGAAGAAAGACAAGTGCTGGAAGCTGTGGAAGGAGAATGCGAAGCGCGAGTACGCCAAGCAGAAGCGCCTGTACGAGGAAGACCTCGCGAGGATAGACAGGGAGCTGCACGAGACCGCCGACACCGGCGCCGCAGCCGCGGCACGTGTACAGGAGCTGGTGCTTCGAGGACAAGAAGCTCTACAACCGGCTGTCGAAGAGGTGGCAGCGGACGGCGAGTGGGAACAGCTCATGCAAGCCGAGCCAACCGAGGAACCACAAGGCTACTTTCGAGAGGCCCTACGAGCAGCCCAGGCAGTGGAGTCACCTCGCATGCCAGACAACCAACTGCGAATGGCTCTTATGAACTCTGGACTGCAGACACCTGCCCGACCCAAGCCGGCCGCACTGTCGATGAGATCACCACTACCGTCTACCCTGCTACAGAGGCCTGCACATACCAGTGCTCCGGTGCCTATGGAGCCTACTGCACCCGAAGAGAACTCGGGTGCAGTACATCCGATCGTGGATCCTTACTCAGTCGCTGCGGGCGTTTCACCTACGGTGGCCATGGCAGCTGTTACGGGGCAGCTTCCTGCTTTTGGACCGCCCCCAGGGTTTGGCAGCCCGTCACAGGCACCGCGACATCCAGGACAACGCGATCCGGAAGCCTCCCGCTCCAGAGAAGAGCCCCCGAGGCAGAACGTCAAGGACGCCACCAAATCCAAGCCGGCACCGGCGGTGACACACGGAAGCCTCGAGGACAAGCTCAATGCGAAAAGGGAGCAAGCTCTTGGTACAGCGCTCACCCCGTTTGGCCTCGGGGCTGCGGTTTCGTCCCACGAGGTGACAGATGGTGGACCCCCAGCGACCGGTCGCCCCAATCTTCTGGCGAATGCGCAGATCGAGGAGGACGACGACGAGGAACTCACGGGCGAAGAATGGCCGGAGCCTCCGGCAACATGATGCCGACCTTTCTTCCACGGACGCTGAACTTGCAGAGTAGCCCTGCACGGACTCACCGCTGGCTGTGCAGGCTGGATGGTATGGATGGCTTTGAAGTTCTTTGGGTCGAACTTCACAGCCGTCCTCCTCCATTCGGTCAATGCTTATCAGCGTGTCAGTCCCTGCACATGGCTTATCGAACTTGTTCTCTGAGCAGTGAACGGGCTTTCTCTGTACAGCACTGTACAGTTCTTGTAGTCTGCAACTCGAGCGATCGCTTTCCTTGTTGCCCTCCTCGTCAAGGTTTGGCCTTTCAAGTGCATTGGGCTTTTGCGCTTGTTTGGGTTGAGCCTTTCCCGTTTATCTCTCACCAGGGTGACTGGCAGGGTATGGACTTCTGCCTCTGTTTAGTCTTCACCTGGAACGCCGTGAACCCACATGTCGCTTACCACGGCTGTTCGTCGGCCCCTTGGGATTGGGGTGCCTTCGGGCCTGCTGTGGTTTCCTCATCTGTCAGCTGCGATGGCACCTCTGTGTGTCGTTTCAGCCTGGCCCCGCCGAGGCAAGTCGTCTGCACTTGCCTCCCTCCCACATGCAGCGTGCCTAATAACCGCATCGGTGGCTCTGGGGCGGTAACCTGCTGGATCTTGATTTCGTCTGCGCCCTGTCGCTTCGATACTATCATGCCTCGCCCTCTTCTCGACCTTTCCGTTTGCCTGGATCGGTGCAGTTTTGTCGTCAAGGGCTCGCCCGCGACTTGCATACCGGACGTCCTCTGTGAGGTTCCCCGGGTTTTTTGCGTCATCAATGGGGTCGGCTACCCGGTGCCAAACAAATGCATCGGTGGCTCTGGGGCATTGACCGGTGTAGTTGCTCCCCATAGTGCCCCTTTCGGTTCCTCCTCTCTTAGGGACGGGCCCACTAGCTGTCCTGGGTTCTCGGGTTTGCGGTATGGTTGCCTTAAGGCCCCCACCCGAGATGCCTTTCAGTGCACAGCCCCCTACCATGCCCTCAAACATTGCCCCTTGCCAGTGTCGGCCACCATCCCTATTGGCCGTGCTTGCCTTCAGGCTATCCTCCGCTTCATCACCGGAGTTTCCATGCCAACCTGGTGTGCGGGTGCCCTCGCGGCATGCGGTCGCACTCTTTCTTTTGGCTGTTTGGGTCTTCTGCTCTGGATCTGGTTCCGTACCTTTCTTGGCAGGCGCTTATCGCTTCCCTCCAAGTGTCGGAGAAGCAAGCGTGACTTACCCACTTGGCTGTCTGTCCTCTCAGTCGCTGCTGCCCTTGGTTCGCAACCTCCTCTTGTGTGGTCCCCGGGTCCCACCGCTTCTCGGCGGCAGCGTACCGTGCGTCGTGCAGCTTCATCCAACTGGCTCCCCCGGCTTTGCGCAGCCCTCCTTTGGCATTCTCTCCCAATGCAGGTCTGGGCAGCTCCAGGTGACACGGACCATGGTGCCGCTCTCACCCGTAGTTTAGCTACGGACGGGCCTGGTGGGGCCCATGTTGGCCATGCTGCCTCTGCGTCTCTGCACTTTGCGACTGCCCCAACCGCAGCACCAGACAACAGTACTAGTAGTGACACAGCGGCCTCATCCCTGCACTGTCTTGTCTTTGCTGCCGGATACCGCACTGAGCATGTACTTCTGAGCCTGCCGCTCGGATGCAGCGAAGAATCGCTCACTGCAAGAGTACAGTCTTCTTCGCACCTGGTGCAGCGGCTTTCACCAGCCCGCCTTTTTCCTGCTAGGCCCCAGCCAGGGCAGGGTTATGCCAGCTTTGTTGTCGTCCAGGACTGGGTTCCAGCTGACCGGCGGCAAGTTGTCTTGCTTGACTTTTCGCGAATGCAGGGCCCGACCTACGCACATGTTTTCCATAACCCCCTCACATATTCGGACCTCGCCGCGGAAGTTACTGCAGTAACTGAGGACTTATGGCACGCTTTCTTACCTGCAGAATTTGAGCCCCTCACTCCCGGTGGAGAGGTCCAGCTTGCTGAGGGTGATGCGGTCTGTATATCCCCTCGAGACGTGCCGTTCATGCGCGCCTCGGACCTCTCCACGCTCCTCGAGCGGCCGGGCACGTGGCAAAGTGAGCCCGAGCAAGTTCTCCTTGAGCGGCCAACCTCCGCCTGGCTTGTTCTCCTGCCACAATCTGTTCAGCCCTTCCAACATTATGGGGTCTTCACTGCTGAATTGCAACAGGCCATTGCGGACCACATGTGTTGTCAGGTACAGCATGTCAGCTTTGGCCACCCCACCGAGCCTCTTGCTGACGTCGTTTTCCACGGACGGCTTTATGACAAAATAGCCGCTGCAGATTACAGATCGGACAACCTTCCCCCAGGTCCTAATCTAGGCTCCTTTATTATAGTCGACGCGAGGCAGTCGGCTAGGGGGCTAGGCTTTTTGTTTGAAGGAGAAGGGCTCACATTTTCTACACAGGATGGGGTTCGCGCCCTTGGCCTCCGGCCGCCACGAGGCTTCCGCACTTACGCGGAGCACGAGCACCTCAGCAGTGAGGGCCTCATAGTACGCGATGGGCGCGTACTTGTACTTGGCTACGAGCGTGATGCCTCCGCTACTGGCACTGTTGAGCCCCCAGACCATGCCGCAGTGGATGGGCCAGTCTCTGTGGGGTCTTTGCCTACAGGTGATGCCGCACCCGCCGATCCTGCCGGATCCGGGCTTAGCACTGTGCCACCCCTTTCCATAGGGTTTTTGGTTCTTAGCCCCCGGGTTTCGCCCGCAACCTATGAAATCCCTCTCGACCTCCCGTGCAGTCCACAACACGCTTGTGATGCGCTTGCTGCGCGGCGTCGTGAGACACTGTCCACTTTGTACGAACATCTCGTTGTGGCACAACCCCAGCCGGACAGACGGTTTTGCACGTTCATTGCGATGCCCTTATGGGCCACGCATGTTGTCTGTACCGTCATAGATGCACGGGCTGTAGACGGGCGGCTTTTTGCCATGCAATTGGATAGTGGCCTCTACCCAAGATCCATACTTGTGCAGATTAGCCTGAAGCCATCACTCGGCTTCAGGATAATGCATAACGGCCACATCCACCAGACACAGGAAGCCGTCTTCCTCTCCAAAGGAGACGTGCTCTTCATTCTTCCCGCCCAGGCAACTATGCCAGCTCCAGCTTGGCTTCCCGATATGTTGGCCCAGCCCGCTGGCTGGCACCTTCCAGTGCCTGATTTCCGTGGCTTTCTGCAAACGCCTTTTTACTTGCTGACAGATGCCTGGAACACTATTGCAGACTTCCCAGCTACTGCCTCCACTTCCTATACTGCGCTCCGGCAATTTGCTATCGCCTTCCTGCAGTATGCTGAGCACTGTGCCTCACTTCAGACCTTGCACCCACGCATTGCTGATTACAGTTTTCACGGCATCTCATGCAGGGCGGTTCTGATTGCAACCGAACGGCCTATAGGACCACCTATACCCCCTGCCCGTCCCCGACCACCGCACATTGCGTATGCAGTCGACAGGCGCGCTCTGTTTGCAGATATCACATGGCACATCGCCCCAACCGGACGTGTTGACTTGGACTCACTCATGAAGGAGTTTGAGCCCGCCCCTTCCGGCTTCTTCACTTCGATCACTGGCGGCGTGCCCGAGCGCGATGGTGACCGCACGTTCCTCCGCATTGACAATGGGCAGGTTCTCACCGTTGCATACGAAGAGGATCCCTTCGATCACGAAGGTGGTGGAAGCCCCATGCTTCCCAGCGATGCGCTCGACGATTCGGATGACTCAAGCAGCTCGTCCTCTGCGCCTTCCGCAGCCCCCAAACCTACGCCTGCGCCAGCGCCTGGGGCTCGCAACCGCAAGCGCCGCCTGACAGGTGGCACGCCACATCCCAGTGGCCATGGAGGTCACAGCCTCGCGATCAATGTCCTCGTAGGCTGTGTACTAGGGGCCCAGGTGCACGGCACCGGTGCTGACATTGGCGCAGCACATACTCTTGCCACTTTCCCGGACCGTTGCACCACGATCCGCTGCGATGTGGTGCTTCTCGCCCTATCGCTCCACCTTGGGTCTTTACCCCTGTGGGGTTTAGTTGCATGGGTTTTTGCACTAAGCTGCATGTACCTTGCGGCACGCCCCTTCCGACATGTGTATGCCCTCCACCGCCAAGCCAAGCTGCTCTTGGAGCCACGACCGCACAACGGGGCTGCCCGGTCCGCCCTTGCTGCACTCCGTTATTTTGCGCCACGCTTGGGTGCGGCGTGGAGGTACATACCTGCGGAGGATGCCGAGATACTGAGAGGTTCTAGCAGCTCAGAGGATGCTGATCCTGACACAGCAGACAGCCCCGCCCTTTTCACTCTGCACACCCCAGGATATGCCCCCGAGCATGTTGCTGTCATGCTGCGCTTTCCCGCCGCCCTTACAGAGGCACTTGACGCAGTGCAACATGCCCGTAACAGTCCGCAAAGCCGTTGGTTTCCCACTCTCATCCCAGTTGAGCCACAGCCACAGCCAGGTGTCGGAACTGCCATTGCCCTCGCGGACTGGCAAAGCTCAGACATACTTGTCTGTTTCGACTGTTCCCGCCTTGATGGCAGATGCTTCGCTCTCACTGTGCCTGCTTATGCTGATCGGCTCGCTCTTCTACATTTCGCAGACATACAACTCAACCTAGGGGTTGCTGTGTACGTCGGAGACGACCACCAGCCTCTAGCTGAAGATGTCTCCATTCAGATGTGGACCGGCCTCGCCATTTTCTTTGCGCCCCCAGACCGCGCTCCTCCCCTGTCATACTCTTTGGCATGGACGCTTACGGACTGGCGCATGTGGCGCGGTACCCCGCCTGATGACCTACACCCGCCGCCTGATGCATATACTCTTGTCTATCATGACGAGACTATCTTGCACATCACGGATCCCAGGCGCCCCACTAGGCACAGACACCACATAGCCGCTGCTTTGGGCATTCCTCTAGCCAGCCTGCAGCTCCAGCCCGCCATCCCCCGGATCACTAATGCGACGCTTACCGGGCTTCTGTGC